TCGCGATCTTGAACTTGTTAGCTCTCATCAGCACACCATAGGTACGCTTAATATTGGCTCCTAATGCTGACAGTAAATGAATTAATAAAAACTACCAGATTCGGATCGTGATTTTGATCTCAGCAGTAGTAATATCCAAATACAGGCAGTGTAAAGTGTTCAAACGTTGTTCGACAATACCTTCTTTAATTAATAAAAAACAAAGAAGGAAATAATTTTACAAAATATTGTTAGCGAGTGTTCAAAGCATATTGACATTAGGATTAATTGTGCTTGTACTTGTTCATATTTGATTGAATATTCCTGGTCAACTTGACATATGTACTAAGACTAGTAAAAAAAATAATTTTGCACACACAACAGACGCACCAAACGCGCAGTTGTGACTTTTGACTGATAGTGACTTACGAACGTTGGCCGTTTCAACCCTTGTATTAATTTATTAGGCGTGTAACATGAACTGAGTGTGAATTATGAGCTACATCTGCGGGGTAGGATGGTAGCCCATCGAGCCGGCTCTGACCGATCCGTTTGCGTCTGTCCGACGATTGACGCATATTAATAACGATATCGGTTGAGAGAAAAGAAAGAGCCATCCGGCAAGAGCCACCTTCGGCCGGCAGAGAGGTTTTCTTTCTTTCGCCCAAGACAGACGAAAGTCGGCATGTGATGAATGTAATGTCAGACCTCGTAGACAGGTACACATTGCTCATATACTATGCGTTCGAAACAACGACGTCACGGGGACGTACGAGATGCCCATCTGAAAAGTCTGTGACTGACGTAGAAGTTGAGGTTTTGTCTGGGTAAGGGGGATTCTCTTATCTGAAACATGTGTCTTCTCTTGCCGAAGAAGGAAGTTATTCCTGTAGAAAAATTCTATTTATCTACAACCTACACTAATATTATAAAGATGTAAGGTATGCAAGTTTCTAAGTTTGGCTGTAGGTGGTAATTTCCAAAACCACTCACACCTTACTTGAAAAATTCATTGATCAATGTTATTGGTCTTTAGGGTGGATATAGGCTGTGCATTATTCTGTTAAAATAAAAAGGCTCTTCATGGAGGCCAATTTTGCTATGTGAGTCGACTGCAAAACGGTATGGATATATGGGCGAAGGGTTAAAAAGAAGTGGCGGTGAGCAGAATAGGGTACAATGATGGAAAGGCGGATGAAAATTGAAAGAAGGTGATTATAAGTTCGTGCAATAAAGCGTTAGTCGTCACTCCTATGACTGGTTGGACATGCGCCTCCACTCTTTAGTTAGTCTTCGCATTCCCCTAAAACTATAAACTTTTGGGTGTTTCATTCCCACCAGCCAGTATTGCTGGTGGACGGACAGTCCCTCCGGACTACACCGGAAGGTAGGACGGAAGGGCCTCTTCAGCCTGCTTTGACAGAAGAAGACAGAAGAAAGTGAAAGATAATCTGTGGAATATTACTGCCTCAGCATTTGCCTAAGTGATCCAAGGAAACCACAGAAAAACTTGGACGAAGGCAGACGGACCTGGAATCGAACCGGCGTCCTCCCGAATGCTAAGCAATGGTCTAGACCTCTAGGCCATGCCGCTCGGTCCTAAAACTATAACAACCCACATCCTTAACTATTTGCGAACAGTAATCTAATCTATGCCTACCTCTACCCTTCCTAACTCCCGTTTCTACCTCCTATATGTCTCTGACTTAGACCTTCATGCCTGAGAAGGTGTTCTACAAACCTATCTCGCCTATTTCTTATTGACTTCCATAGAGTCCTCAGTTCTCCTATTTTTTCTAATACCTCTTCTTTTTTTATGTTATTAAGATAACTTAACGTTTACAATAAAGTTACTCCTATTACATTATATATTATACGAAAACAGATAGGTAACAGTAATATTAACCTCGTTTAGCTGCTTCAATATTTTATTACCATGGTATTATTAATTCACCTTCTTGTCTGTCTAATTTGTACACTCGGTACAAACTTTGCAATTGATTTTGACTAACTTCCCAAAGAGTTGAAGATTTAAAACTTTAAACGTAGCTCAGAACTAGATGACAATGCAATACTAACTCGCTTTCTTGTATATCTGCTAAAAATAATGGGTAAAATTTAAAATACCAGTGTAATATTTTGCTTGCCATATGTTTTTTTCTCATTATTTTTTTTGGTAGTGAAAGGTACGACTTTCAGGAGTTTCTTACTAGAAGACTGTAATTAGTGTGTGTCTAACTCTAACTAGTAAATTAAGTACCAACTTTAATCAATGATCAAAAATTTAGAGAGTATCACAAATAAAATTTGGTCTGTAATTGGCGAAATTAACTTCGTTTTCTTTCTATACAAAAACAGACGATATTAACTTCTTAACACACAAAAATTTTTAAGTTAAAAAAACCATTGCTTCGAACGAAAGACAACTTACTACATATTATCGTTATTGTGTTTAGATGTATTTATCGAATGACATACTAAGCGGTTTATTATTTAACCAGAATCATTCTGAATAGTCATCATTATAAGCATTCTAAGCCTATTAATTTCAAACCTTGCTTCTACAACAGTTGCTGGGTCATTAATCTTTACCTGTACTATACGTGTATGCTAATTTCACTTTGTTGTCCAAATCAACGATTCGCGTAAATACTAAAACCAACCTTAATCGCGGAAAATAAAAGAAAATATATAGTGTGGATCGGCTCTGAATGTGAGTAAATACATGTACTGCTCTTTTTGAGATTCGTCTTTTAATGCGATAATTGTTTATGATAATTATATGTTACGCCAAATACGTGTAATTACCTATTGCGAAGTTAGCATAGTTTTGTCGATTTCATGAACTTTAAGCAAAGTCGTGTCTTAATACATGTAGGTACTAGGCAAAACGGTTTTGACGAATACGCGAAATAGGCAATCAAGCAAATTAAACAATTGGGTTTTAAATTAGAGGTTGCGTTTGTCTTATAATATTTATTGGTAACTGTTAGTTTTGTGGCGTGAAAAGCGTAAATACCTATAAAATAATAACATTATTTTGTGTTTTTTGGAACTTATAGTGTTAAGCAGACAATGACCTCTCTTTTGGAATAGTAATGGCTAAAAAGTAAGATGAATTCGGCGTTAGTATAAAACATGGCATTATGAAATTTTCTGCAGTCGACAGAATTTAAGAAAATACTACAAATGGCGCAGTAAACGCCACCTGTAGCACGATGCTACATTTTAGGATTACGTATGCTCAGATGCTACAGATGGCGTTTACTGCGCTATTTGTAGTATTTTCTAAAACGCACTGTTAAGACAGCAGGTAAAAGTTGGTCTGTGTTCTGTCGGAGCTGCCTGCGACGCGCTGATGAGATCCAAAAAGATCGAAATCGCG